GAAGCCATTATCTTCTCATCCTGGTTTGGAGGTATTTGTCTTGGTTAGTCAAAGTCGGGTGTCAGAAACAGAAGTTGAAATCCACTCAGGCAAAGGAGACTTTCTTAATGAGAAATGTAAATCCATGAGTCTATGGCCTTTAATTTTGTAGTGGATGGATTGGTTAAATATACCTGCTTGGTCCTTTCCAATGGGGCTGCAGAGAGTCTTTTATTTCATGCTTTTTCCAATGAATAAAATCTCCAGGTTGTAGTCAATGATCCTTAAGGTCTTCATCTCCCAGGAGCTCTCTGTGAAAGGAATCAGCTACCAACCTTTCATTTCTTTTAAGCTCCTCAATGAGAGCTCTCCTCCAACAACAATGTAATATATCTCCTTAAGCAAAGTTGGTTCATACATTTGCTCATCTCATTGCATAGGCAGTCCTGTTATTATTTCAAAAGGAGACAGCTGATATTTACCAAAAGGTGTAAATCTAAGATTGAGAATTACTAGCAGAAGAGCTTTTCGCCATGAGAGATTAAATGCTTCTGAAAGCTTTGCCAATTGAGTTTTGATTGTAGCATTAGCTAAAATGTTGCATTATTGGCCAAATATCACAAATAGATTTAATTATTTGTCCAGTGGAATGAGTTCCTTGGTCACTGTGTGACTTGATAGGAATTCCCCAAACAGGAATTATCCTTTCCAATAGTAATTTACCTACTGCTGAAGCCATCTCTCTTCTGCAAGGAAAGGCCTCTACTCAATGTGAGAACACACAGATAATTACTAGGACATTTATATGCTTGAGATAGTGGCGTTTGAACAAAGTCCAATTGCCATACCTCAAAGGGTCTCTTAGGAAGAGGAAAGTGACCTTGTGACCCATGAAGTGTTTTCCTGGGATTATGTTTAGGACATATGGTACAAATATAGTACAATGAGCATATGCTTTATGAGCCACTGTGGGAGGAAGCTTCCAAAAATATGGTTTTCCCCATAAAACTATCTTTTTAGGTGCCCAATGGGTAAACTTATGTATATGCTGGTGCAGTGGCAATTGTGTTCCATTAGGCACTATGGTTTGTTATCAGGCCCAAATCACATCTGCATGGGGGTGTTAAAAATTCCTCCTTTTTGTTGCCACGTTTGTTTCTCTTCTTCCATGCCAATTTCTTGAGCCTGTAGAAGGAAATCTTTCACTGGGTTAGCAGGGTTAACAGAGAGCAGTGGACGTTCTCAAGGCTGGACAGGATATTCAGCCTCGCAATGTCCCTGCCTATCTTTTAAGTAATAGCCATCTGTAAACCAACTTAGATAATAAAATGCAGTCGTGGTCATTTTTCTCCTGTGGTGCTGGAAGCGAGGTAGCAGGGTTAAGAAAATGAGTAATATTTACCTACATGATATAACCTAAGAAGGTTTATCATCATTTACTTGACAATGCTTCCCATGCAATTTAGCATACCAAATAAACCTAATTAGTTTAGTACCTCCCTCTTTATAGGAAAAGAGAACAAATTCCTTGAGAAGTCCCAGGAAACTGTCCTTGTAAGAGAGAGAAAATCAAATTCTAATTTTTCACTAGCTTATTTTTGATACTAAAGCTCATTTACTTAATTAAATTTATTCCAATCTTAGCCAGTTTGGCCATGCATAAAACTCAGATTTTGTCCTATGTTTTCCTTAACAAAATGCATTTCCATTTCATATATATATATAAATTTCATATAAAAATATATATTTTACTGAAAACACATTTTATTTTCCTTGCATATTAAGACATTTCCCTTATTATTTTAGTAGTTTTAATTACATATGTTAATTAGAATTTTTAACCCTTAGACACCTTAATTACTAGTGAAAAATAAAGAAATAAACAATTATGGACTGTCTTTTACATTAGCATTCTGTGGCTTGGCAAATGTATAAATAATTTCATAATTTCTAGAGTTGTGAGCTACTCCATAGGACAACCTTTCAATAAAGCATAAGACGTGTTTACTAATAGAATCAAACATCTTTACTTTCCCTGTAATAAGAAGAAAAAAGTGGTAAACTTATACTTGTTAAGCAATTAATAGTTCTTTATCTCATTTGAAAATAATCTAGATATTTAATGAATTTTCCATCATTTAATTTGATCTAGCAATACTCTGAAGTTTTAAGTTACTGAAGAGATTTTAGAAGCTGTTGTAAGTACACACGACATAAAATATAATTATTACTAAAAGTTAATCTGTAAACTCTTATCTCATTTATATCTACCTAAATCATTTCCTCTCAAAAATTATGTTTAAATTACCCACAAAAACTTCATGAGACATTAGACAAAATCAGCCAGCATTCTAAGTTATTTTTGCTGACAAATTTTGTAACAGAGATAACATCAGCTTATTTGATTAATAACCCCAGGGAGAATGAAGGTTCCGTGTCTGCATCATATCCAATCCTCATACCTCTGAAGTCATGCTTATTTCAAATCAAGAAACTTAAATAAGCTTTCATTTACCAAAGATTATTTTTTTTATCATGTTAACTTGAAAGACATTTGGGTTAGTTTCTACTACAGTTATAGAAGTGATTACTTTAAGACAATCAAATAGAATTCTTTTAGAAATTATAGAATTATAGATGCCAATTCAGGAACCGGTTGGCTTTATTAGCACGATTTCCCCGTTTTCTTTTAGTTTCTCTTTACTATGAAGTCCGAACAATTTCTAAAGACTGTGTAGTGGATCAGAAGCGTGCTGCTTGTGAGTGTCACTCCCTTCAAAAGGTTGTGAACGTTCTCTTATGTGTCTCAGTTTCTCCTGCTGGCAGTCTAAACGTACCATGGAGGCTCAGAGCACATGGATGACCAGTCCTCAGGTGTGCATCCCCAGATGAGCTGTCAATTACTTAAAGTGAATGATCACTATGGAATTCTCTACAGGACTGCTGTGCATCACGATGCTCAACCTCAGACACTCCCACTAGGTTCTCAGTCACCTGAGAACACCTTACGACTGGGAGGAGCTGGTGTCCCTTCTCTTGAGAGCCGAATGAGTTTTCAGTCTCATTTTGCTATTAAACAATTTGTTCAGACTTTATAGACACAATTCTTTCCAATTTAAAGCCAAATTAAAAAGATCAGCCTGCACTGTTCACTCCAAAGTTCCCCCTATGCTCCCCTGGCTAGGAAATTCTCCCTAGGTTCCTCTTACTTAGGGTATGTACCAGTAGCCCTTAAGATACCTAGTCTTAAGACTTGACACAGCTCAAGCAAAAGTCAGGACCTACAACTTAAATAAGGAGGTCCGAGTTTCAGGAAGAACTCACCAGGGGCACCTGAAGAATGCCATAAAGCTGCAGGGGCTCAATGGGCCTGCACGGTACCAAGCACCAGTTCAAAGTAGAGTCCAGGTAGTCTCTGGTGGGCTTCTCTGAAATCCTGGAGACTACACCAAGAAATGTTGATGCAAAATAACCAATAACCATTCTATAGATAAGAGAGATAAATTGAGTTTTACTTGAGCCAAAGTGAGGATCATAATCTGGGAAGGGCTTTTCCAGAAAGGAAGAAAGCATTCTGGAGAAGCATGGTTCTCAGTACAGTCTTACACCTTTTTAGAACAAAGAACAAAATACATTAAACACGCCCAGGACACATATTCATCAAATTTTAAAGAGGTATTCGGTTGCAAGTTAGCAGGTCAGGAAAGGGACTAATACTGGCATTAGAGATAGGGTATAGGAGGGAAAGGATGTATTCTTATCCTAAGAAAGTGCATTCTTTAATGGTTAAAGCAGACGTGCAAGGTACATCTGATAGGCCATAAGTCAGGCTTCTTTAGTTCAAGCTGAATCAGTATTTAACCCGAATAGTTACCCTATATACTTTATATGTGAAAATCTCTTGTCATCTCTTATCTCATTCATTCTGAGCACATACCATTGTTGTTATGAAGAGACTATTTTACTTAATTTTCAGGGGAGGATATGGAGGCTCAGAGTATTTGTTTCTTGTCTTCAGTTACCCCGCTTCTCAGAACAGGCCTGGGTATGCACCCACCTTCTTCCTCCTGCTGAAGGCTATGTAGGAGCCCAGAAACAGGTCCTGGATCAGAGACAAGCACACATCCTAGCTGGCCCTCCCCACACGTGCGCCATCTTTCCTTCTTTTCAGATTTAGAGTGTGTTCCTTTCCAGGTGACTCAGATCCTTCTTTATCATGAGATGACAGACAGCCTTTGTTTCTATTGAGAAGGCCGGATGTGTTCCTGTCATCCTGGGGCAATGGGTAAATTCAGCTTTACAGGTTTAGAAATATTTAAACCATCACCATACCTGTGAAGCACTGGAACAGCACTACACCTAGTGATCGTTATCTCTCCATGAAGGCTAGAAAACGAAGCTCTTCTCAGAAACCTGAGAACTTCATACAGATGAAGCGCTCAGCCACGCACTTTTTCCGTTTTTTTTTTCCCCGTTGCACAAATTGAGTTCTGAGGAAGAATCCATTTTACGACAATTTAGCTCCCAGCTTCATTATGTGGGAAAAGAATGTATAATTGTTTGAAAAACCATTTAACAAAATAATTTAAATGAGAGTTCTTTTAAAAATATGTATAAATACTGGAAAAATTTTAAAGAGCTAGAATTGAATAACAGGTTGGTTATACTGAAACAAAATGAATATTTTATGTAAAACAGGGATTCTTAAGGTGGGGGCCTACAAGGACTTTGAAAAAGCATCAAAGATGCCTTCATGAACAAGAGTGAAACAAGAGGCGTGCCAGCGAGCAGCAGGCCTTAAATTAGTGTGATCCACAGTCTGTTATAAATTTACAACACTGGGGTATTCAGGAGGAAGAAAAAGTCAAGAAGTAAAAAACAAACCTAAGCAAGCAATGTTTGTAAAAAGCTTTATTTTCGTGTTATTTCTAAAAATATATCAATAAATATTTAAACTTCTCTATTTCAAGACATAGAGAAACACTACATAATTAGCACTAAACAAGGCATTATGCCTTACAAGGAAGACATAAAATGTCCAAGGGATATATAGAACATCGTAGTCTTTAAGCTTCAACATCAGAAATGTTGACCACATACTGTGAAACTGTTACAATAAATAACAGACATTCTTCTCAACAGTACAAAAATAGATATACACATACATTCCCCTACATTAACAGTGACCTATTTGCTTGGATCTCCCACTATTTATTTCCAGCCTTTGTCATAATGGATGTTCAGTGTAGTCTCCTCCCACCCCCAACCCCCAACAAAAAAAAATTAGTTTAATAAATGAAGAGCATTTAAAATGCATCTTCTTCAAATTAAATAATAGGAGTGAACTAACTTTGATTTAGCATGAAAATAACCTTTTAAAATAACAGTACAGTGAATTAGCAAACATTCATATCTTTAAATATTAGATAGAACATTAATATACAAGCTTTGAAAAATAAATAAATAAATACATATGTAAATAAATAGAAGAACTCTTATAAGAAACAGTCAAACACATTAAACACAGTACAGGTGCCCCGGGAGCTGTATGTTTCTCTTCTTTCATGCCCATTCCACTAAGGCTGCAACAGTAACCAGTAGGCTTCCTTCTTCTCTCTAGGTCAGTTGGCACTGCCCCTGTATTGAGAAAACGGTTGCGGTTAGTAAGACTCAAAAAAATGACTACATAGCCCTGTACTTAGTGGTTACTGCTTATACCACTGCTGCTCTGTGTGGCAGAAAATGCCAGGCTCCTGGATGCTGTTTAATTAGGAATAAGGGGTCTGTGGTCACAACTGTATCATTAGCTTCAAAAACCCAGAACATAATGCTAAAAGAGTACATGCATGACATCACTTAAGCCTCATAGCAAACCCCATCAAGTAGCTATTATTATTTTCCCCATATTATTTAGATTCATTAGATCAAGTACTTTCCCTGGGGTTACAGGAAACTCACTTGTTTAGCATCTTTTCGATGATTTTCTTAACCATGGGGGCTTCGGGGTTGAGACAAGTTTCCTGTCCATTCTTGAGAGTGGCTCTGCAGAGAGAAGGGAGAATACACGTGAGGCAGAAGGTCGGGCTGAGGGTCAGGGTGGGGGACATTGGGACGGTGGGGGTGACAAGGACTGTAGCAGCGGGGGCGCGCGGCGGCACTTACATGACTTCGGTTTGGGCGCAGTGGGAGCCTGGGGACGTCACCTTCACACTCTGGATGTTCTTGAGGTGAATCCCCTGCACGGTCTGCAGGCACTGGCAGCGCAGTTCAGAGACCACGGGCGCGCCTGCGGGGAGAACGGACTCGGTTAGCGGGGCTGTCCCCCAGTGGGCCCACCCGACCCCGGTCCCGCCCCTGGGACCCCAGGGCGCCGAGTGGCACCTGCTGCGCGCCGGGCGGCGGCGACCAGGAGCAGGAGCAGCAGCGCGGCCCGGAGGAGCCGGGGAGCGCGGGAGGCGGCGGCGGCGGCGGCGCGGGCCATGGGGCTCAGCTCGGAGGGTCGGGGCGGCGGTGCCTGGAGCGGGAGGGCCGGCGGGATTGCTGGCGGAGCGAGCTCTGTGGCTCCCCGAGACGGGAGCACCCCTTTTATCCATGGTCGGGGCGGGAAAGCTCACAGCCCCGGGCCAGGGAAATTCCCGGACCTGCAGGTCTCTCCCGGGCGCGGAAGGAAGCGCGGCCCCGCCCCGGGTGGAGCGGGGTGGGGGGACCCGCCGGTGCCACCACCCAGCGTGTCGCCTCCCGCGTGACTGTAACTCCGCGGACTCGGAGTTCTCTGTTCACTTCCGTCCCCAAATCCCCAAAGAGGGAGTGAGTCGCCTTGCAAGAGGCGGTGTCACTTATTACGGAGTCACGCATCCCGAGACACGTCAGTTATCAGCATTGGGGGAATTAAGGCGCTGGAGGGGGGATAACTGATTTTTCATTTGTTACATACGCATAAATATCTTCTGGCTTGATGATTTTATTTACATCTGCGTAAATACTCTCTATTAAAATGCATCTGTCATCTCAGATTATATATAAGAATGTTCTCCTGGTTCCTGGTATTTTACAAGCACAAATAAATCACACTGTGTGTCATGTCATCTCACGGCGGGTAAGGGGATGACCAGAGTCAAAAGTTTAATTCAGCATTTAACTTAGGACAAAGTGTCGTAATCCCACATAGTTTACTTCCCCGGTGAAATTCTGGGACTTCCAGAGCTAGAGTAAATTCATGAGTACCACCTTTTGGTATAGATGGCGTTGATTAATCTGAAATAGGAGGCTGGTGGTCATTCTGGAGCTTTTGAGGGGAGGGAAAGCTGCATTGTGTCACGGGGTTCACAGTTTCTAGTTTTGTCCAGGCACTAAAAAGGTCATGGGTGTGTGAGATCTGAGGCCTGGTGTGAGTAGCACCCTTTGCTCAGCTAAGCAGCAAAGAAATGCATTCCTGTGTCATGTCTAAGTGTTAGGTCAGGAATCTAATTCCACTTCGTTGTTTAACGGACACAAATCTCGTTCATTTCCATGTGATATGGACTTTCCTGCCTCTAGTGATTTGATTTCCTTTCTAGAGAAATAATTGCAATCATATTTTGTTTCTAGTGGCTTCTAATAAAACATTTCAAGCTAACTCTAGCCTGTGCCATTCAGTAGCTCATTTTTTCACCCGCCATTTTAATGTCCTTTATTGGGTAATGTGTAGGTTTCAGATGGTTTAGGTGTGACACTGGATGCAGATCAGTGAGAGGTGTGGGGATACCAGTGGAAAGGTATGTGTGGGGATGCTATAGAGGTGCCAGGGTAGGAATTTCAGCTCTCCCAATTATGGGTACGTGACATATAACCTCTCTATGCCTTGGTTTCTCATTTGTAAAATGGAGATATATGGTAGTATTTTTTTTGTGTGTGTGAGGAAGATCAGCCCTGAGCTAACAGCCATGCTAATCCTCCTCTTTTTTTTTGCTGAGGAAGACCAGCTCTGAGCTAACATCTGTTGCCAGTCCTCTTCCTTTTTTTTTTTTTCCTCCAAAGCCTCAGTAGATAGCTGTATGTCATAGTTGCACATCCTTCTAGTTGCTGTATGTGGGACGCGGCTTCAGCATGGCCAGAGAAGTGGTGGCCAATGCGCGCCTGGGCCGCCAGCAGCGGAGGGGGCGCACTTAACCGCTAAGCCACGGGGCCGGCCCTATATGGTAGTATTGACCTCAACAGGTTATGATGGATAAATGTGTTAACATTTGTAAAACACCAGTACATATTAAATGCTATGATTTTTAACTAAATAAAGTAGAAATTGCATTTTCCATATTACTGAGTTAAAACTCACCTGGGGATAAAAATTCTTGTACAAAGAGAAAAGAAACTTTGCCAAAAAACAAACAACAAAAACCCCTCCAATATAAAATTTTTGTATTAGTTTTTTTCTTAAGAGAAATTTTAGAATGAATGTTTGTTGTCTAGTTTAATTATTGGGTAATTTTATAACTCTAGTTTTAGTGTTTTCAACTACAAAATGTGAATAAAAGATGAGATGTCCCATCTCAATTATTAGGAAAGATTTTAAATGACTAGATTATAAATAAAGATTTGTCTTTACATTTTTTTTCAGTACTCGTCAGTACAGTCCTGTGAAAAAGAATAGGGAATTAAATTTTTTCTTTAAAAGGAGTAGGAAATGAAAGAGGACCTAAAGTTTATAAAATATGAGTAACTCAGCAGTAACTGAGAATTTGTGCAAATACTGCTGTTTTTATCTTTATTTTTCTGGGATTCTTAGTTGGAAATTCTGTGTTTTCTTGAGATGGTAGCTCAAAAATGTATTCTAATAGCTATTCCTTAAAATTTAAAAATGTAGTTTTATTTTTCTGATTATAAATGTATATCTTTTTATTAGAGAAAAATTATGAAAGACAGAAAATATAATGAGATTGCTATTAAGACTTTTGAAATTTTATCCAAGGAACAAACCTTAGCAGATCTTTCCTTTGTTCTTCTACACCCCTAGTAACTGACATATTTTATGTGCTTGGAAAATGCTGAGTAAACATGAAGTGTTATAATAAATAATACTTTGACATAATAGGCAATGTTCTAAATCTTTTACATATGTATAAAACCCACTTAGTCTTCTCGAGCGCCCCATGAAGGAGTTACCAGTTTTTTTCTCCACAGTTTTTCTCCACGAGGAATCTAGCGGGCAGGGCGTTTAAGTAATTTGCCAAAAGGCCTCACAGTCAGTACAACTCAGCATTTGGGCTCCAGGCAGTACAGCTTTAACTACTACACAATAAAATCCTTTCTTCTGAGACAAAGGACAGATGACTTCAGAAGTGCGGTTTTGTGTTGTTTAAATATGTTTGTTATCCTCCTGGTTGAATAGTTCAACTTCACCTTTCCTAACGTTTAGAAATGGCAAACTGCTCAAAAGTCTCTAGTGTTTTATTTCACTAATCTCAAGAGTTTTCTTTTGTGGCATGAATATGATATACTTAAAGTTAATAAAATCCATATCTATTCATCAATCTATCCGATTTTCCCAATCAGTGGACTTCACCTCAAAAAGCAGGTCAATGGGAGTGAATACTCTACCCTGAGAGCTTCCCAGGAGGGCAACTGAGCGTTTTAGTTAGCTCTTATTTGCTGAAATAAAATCACAATTTTCTGCTGACCCAGTTTGGGCTCTTTGTCATGTTTTAATAACTGAAATATTTCTCCTTCAGCATTACCAAGAAGTTACTCAGAACTTACTCTCTTTATAACTTGAAAGAACAGAAAATATTTGCCCTAATGCTTTCCAGATCCAACCCAGTGTATTGGTGTAAACAAATACTCAGGGTGAATGAATAAAGCATCAAAAAATTTACAGTAGTAGCTGAAAGGATGAAACATTTCAAGAAGCAGCCTCATATTTGTAGAATTATCTATGAGTTTATGTCTCTAAGACTTGCTTAATACACACCTTACAGAAGAAAGGTTTTTTTCTACCTTAATATATCAATTCTCATAATTTAATTCCTAACAGCCTCATATTTATTTTTTAGAAAATTAAAAAAGCCATGGTGTTCTGAAGCCTACTAAAATAATCCAATTCTTTCTTGTTTTAACAAGTGTCTTTATTATTCATTTTATGAACTGAATGACAGATTTACATGCCCAAACTTGAAACTAATACAATTACCAATCTTAAAAGAATAGAGCCATCCCTAAAATAAATCGTTGGTAGCTAAATCCCATTTTGAGCTACCATATTTACTGCATCTTGCATATTTGATTGACACAATCTAACCTGCCTTTAAAATTCAGAGTTGCTACTGCCTCCTGGGACAACGGAGTGAGCGGTGCAGTGCTGCTGTCCCTGTCCTGGCCTTGGGACATTGTGTTGTCACAACTGCCGACCCTATTTGATTGCAATTACTGCTTCTGGTAGAATGATTCCGGTTCTGAGGGGAGCAGAATGAAGATGTCTGAATGTGGCATTAAATCCCCGGATCCATCCACTTCTTCAGTCCAGAACATTTTGTCCAGCGTCAATGTTATCCACCTGGTCCATTTGTCATTTCTGCCTGGCTTGAGTTCCTTCCTTCTTCTGGCTACAGACCCTTGGTTTTCCTTGGGGAACCAGCTCTTCTTCCTCTCAGTCTGGGTGATTCAAGTAGAGTGACCCTGTTTCAAAGCTCCAGGAGTGGGCTGATGACCCAAAGTACTACTGGTCAGTTCTTCCAGTCTAGGTCCAACCCCCAGCCACTTGATAGGTGCAGGGATGGGCAAGTGACCTAAGCTTGGCCAAGTCAGAAAAATTCCCCGGAGTCCTCTTTGTCAGGAAATGGTTGGAAAAACAAGCCCTTGCTTCCTGCTGAGTTATGTCTGGTAGAACAGAAGCGTGGGGCTTTGCCAATGCTTGAGAACAGCTTGCCTAAAATGAAGCCAGCACAGAGAAAAGCAGCCTGATCTGGAGTGAGACTGATTACTGAAGAGAACTTTTGAGCTGCAGTATCCAGCTTTATCCTATCTACTCATCAGTCTTTTAGTTTCAGAGGTCAAATGCTTTCCCTTTACATTAAGCCAATTTGAGCTGGGTTTTTGTTACTGACTGCACTTACTAGAGTTATCTTTTTATCCAAAAGGACATCTCAACCCAAATTTAATTCCTTTCTTTCTCCATTTGTTTCAGCAGTTTCACTCATCATTTTCTCAGCATTTATAAGATGGGATTGAAGTTAGGTGCCAGGGATACAAAGAGGAGTAAGACAGACTCTGCTACCCTCTAACTCTCAATGCAATAGGAGAGATGAATGTACAAATAGAAAATTTTAGAAAAGTCTGGGGAAAAATTAAAAATAGATCTACTATATGATCTGGCAATTCCACTTCTGGGTATATACCCGAAGGAAATGAAAACAGGATATCAAAGAGATATATGTACTCCCATGTTTAATGTAGCATTATTCACAATAGCTGAGATATGGAAATAACCTAAGTGTCCGTCAACAGATGAATGGATAAAAAAGATGGTGAGATATATATATATATATATATGCACATATATGCACAATGGAATATTATTCAGCCACTAGAAAAAAGGACATTCTGCCATTTGTGACAACATGGATGGACCTTGAGGATATTATGCTAAGTGAGATAAGTCAGACAGAGAAAGACAAGTACTGTATGATGTTATTTATATGTG